CTCCTAGAAAAATGCCAAAGGAGAGAAAACAACATGTGCATTATCTGATTAGTGTATAATTCTCAGATGCAATAGGTGCATTTTTTTTGGCAATCCACTGTTAACTGTGTAGACTCTGCTGTGCTGGAGTGGTAGTCATTAAAGAAAAGGTCAGGAGATGCTGGGGGAGAACACAGTATAAAGGAATTGCTTAAAAGTCTGTGCTCTTTTTTTTAAGTAGGATTGTTAAAACCACATCACAATGTGTGATTTTGCCCCTCTGTCATTCTTTTCTGATCATTTTTGAAGAACCCCTTCTGTTCATAAAATGCAGTGAAAAATGGGGACCTAATCATAAATGTAATGTTTCTCTGTCTAGCAGAGTAAAAATAGATACACTAAGAGTTCATACACACTGAACAGTCATACATAGCCTAGAAATGTACAAAAATGTATTTTATGGTTGGAACTGAAATTTTTTCTCTCTTTTGCCTCAATCTAGTTTGGAAGCTCAGATTCAATCTCCTAGAAATATTACACATGAAAAACATGTAAGAATCGCTTGTTATTCCATTCATGGGTCTCTCCAAATTCTACCAGTTAGTACTGCTGGAAGACCAAATTTTAGTTCATTTCTGTTGTGGCACATCGGTATTTTTGTGGCAACTATAAAACTTGTCATACCTACCCTGTGGTTAAGCTACACGTCTTCAAATAATTGGTTTCTAAGCAATCGAGAGAATTTGGTAGTTACTATGAGAAAGCAAAGTGTACCAAGGGTTGAAACATTTCAAAAAGGAACACTTTTAAGCGGGAACAATTTCTCTCTTCAACAACAGAAAAAGCATTCAAGAGTCACATAAGCAGCACTTCACCCTTCTTTTGGTGGAAGTCTAGGAAGGGTTTTTTATATTTCTAAGTTTTGAGCTTATATGTTTATTCGGTCCACAGAAATATCTCTACCATTAAGACTATGTCTGCAATGTTAAGCACTGGCTGTTGCAGCACTGCTCACAGATCTCTGCGGGGCAACTACAGTTTTGGGTCAATTCTGTCAGCTGCCAGCTGACACATGTGGCACTTACAGCAGCATTTGGAGCTGTGCATGCTGGATAGCTATCCCACAGAGCACCTCTTCCTCTTCTGCCACTGAGGCTCATGGGAAGGTGGAGTATTTTGGGTCCTGTCCCAATGGTGCATTGCTTTGCATTCCAGCAACCCCAGTGCTTGTGTCCATATGTGCTGCCATCTATCAATGTTTTTTGTGCTGTGTGCTCTGCCCCGTCAGTCTGCGGGGCTGGATAATGAATTGTGGAACAAAATGCTGGTAGGTCTCACTAAAACGTCAAGTTATGCCTTAAACTACAAAGTGCATAAGAGGAATTCAACACTGATCTTGCCTTAGGGAGTAGCTACGACACGAGATGGCTTGTGGCATTCACAGAGGTGCTAACCAGAGTGGAACACCGTTTTGGGGCTCAGGAAACAAGCACTGAGTGGTGGGATGGTTGTGCAAGTCTGGGATGACGAGTAGTAGCTGCAGAACATTCGGACGAGGGGTGTGTGAACTGTGGGACAGTGTGCCGGCCGTGCTAGTGCACGAGAATAAGAGCTGTTCTGCCAGTGGAAAAGTTTGTGGTGCTGGCACTGTGGAAGCTGGCTACTCCAGGCAGCTGCCCATCGATCACCAATCCGTTTAGAGTGGGAAAGTCGACCACTGACTCGTGCTGATGGAAGTGTGCAGGGCCTCAGTTGCATCCTGCTCCAAAAGACGGTAGCGCTGGGCACTGCGGGAGACATTGTGGATGGCTTTGCATACAGATGGGCTCCCTCACTGCAGAAGGCAATAGATAATGTGTATTCCAGTTCCACTACCGGACGGCCCTACCTTCCGAACACATTAATTGGAAAGAGTATTTATCCATGGTTCGTCAGACACTTGTGGATCACCAGGGGCGTTTCACAGACATTTACACCGGCTGGCTTGGCACGATGCATAAGCTTTCGGAACACAAGCCGGTTCCAGCAGCTGCAAGTGGGGACTTTTTTCCTGGCCCAGGAGATCCCTGGCGGGGAGGTTGAAATGCCCATTTTGATCCTGGGAGGCCCTGCCTATTTCTTAATGATAGGCTCATGATGCCATTCACAAGGAGCCTTGACAGCGGCAAGGAGCAGTACAGCAACGGGCTAAGCAAGTGCAGAATGACTGCTGAGTGTGCTTTCTGCCATTTAAAGCCCGTTGGCAATGTCTATATGGGAAGCTGGGCCTGGCCAATGGCAACATCCTATACTTACGGTCATGTGCTGCACCATCCCTAATATTTGTGAAAGGGAGGGTAAAAGCTTGACTCAGGGCTGGACCATTGAAGCTCAGCACCTGGAGGCTGACTTTGAACAGCCCAAGACTAGGGCTATTGAAGGGGCACAGTGTGGGGTATAAGGATCAGGGATGCCTTGAGGCAGCAATTTGATGCTGAAAGCCAGTTGTATTTGTTGCCATGCACAGGAGTGCGGTTGTTACGCTAGTAGGGGGCTGTGAGTGCTCTGTACAAGGTGGTGACTAGAAAAGTGCCTGTTGCTTTGCTGGGCTATGCTTGCTTTCTTTTAATGGACTAAAGATTGCTTTCAACCCTCCCCCCCCCAAAAAAAATCATTTATTGAAAACCAACAACTATAGGAGACACACATGCAGCAGAACACAACTGCACTCCATCTGCTGTGCGAGGAGCAGCTGGAGCATGTCTGCTTGGCACGCCGTAATGTATAAGAGGTGCTCCATGGTTTCATTCCGAGGCTCCGCGTTCCATCAGTTCCCTTCTCTCAATGTCCCACTGCTCCTTAAAGTCTTTCTTCTCAGCAATAGGCTGCAGCATGATACCACGCAGAAGCTCCTCTTTACTTTTCCAACGCCTCTTTCTAATTCTGCGCAGTCGTTCTGCAGCGCTGTCAATAACAAGGTTACCTCTGTGAAGCCAAAATGCAACACTTTACAGAAGGTGCTTGACAGAGCCCTGTCATGAGTGTTTTTAAAAATAAGCAGTATTCACATACCTCCCACTAACTGGCTGTCACAAGGCCATTGCACATAAGCCACAAGACTTCCAGAAGAGTGGATAACCACAGGGGCAGGAGAGTTCATTGCTCCAGGGCCTTACTGTGCTCTGGGTATATGTGTCCTGGAGAGAGCCAACATTGCAGGGGTGGGGATGTTATAGTCATTATTGTCCGTGTATATTCTACAGGCAACGTTCATCCTGGAAGATCTCATTGCCAAGGATGTCCAGGGAAGTAAGGGAGGGTCTTCTGTAAGATGACAGCTTCAACGCTGGCCCATATGAGACTTGCCTGTGTGCAGCACCAGTCCCCCTCATCCCACCCCATTTCTGATGGCATAGTGGTGCAGGAATATTACCCATAACAGGGCAAGGAACAAAGCAGCTCTGCCAAAGAACTTGCGACAGCAGACTGCTCATTCTCTCCACGAAACTTTCATGGAGATCTGGAACTGAGAGAATCCATCAACAGGGTGTTCCGTCTCTCACACCAGGGATGTGTCCATATGGGTACTGCATGGACCCAAGCCTGCTTTCTGCAACCATCCTGCCCCCAACAACTCACTTCAGCTGTTCCCAAAATCAAAGCCACCTACCAGGGACCTCCTGATGTTTGTGCTTCCATAAGGTCTGATTGTTGTGCCTGGTACCTTACTCTGGGATAGAAAAGAGCTCCTGACTGCAGTGTATCATGGTCATGGCCAATGTTCCCTCTAACTGTTCCATTCACATGTGGAATGAATTTTGTTATGTGCACGGAAGCATGTGTGGATGTGCACCATCAGTAGAAACACATGCTGCTGGCTGTGGGCTATGCTAATCAGCAAGGTGGTGCCAGAATCACACCTGGGTGGCTGCCCAAGTGCTCAGCTTACAGGGAACACTGGTCCTGGCCCCTTTGATGCATCTTGATATCTGCCTATAGGTAATTCCTACACCTGAAGGGCTGAAAAATAAAATCACCCTTCATATTGTAATTTTTTTGTAACATTTTTATATATTGTAACTAAAACTCCATTTTAAACTGTTACTACATTGTAACTGAAGTGATTCCATATTGTAACTGAACCACCATTTTTAACTTTGTATTGCCTTAACTCTGTTTAAAGTTAGGTGTGTGTCTGTAATCTCAATTAAAAGTTTGGATGGGCATGTGTGTGTGCGCGCGCAATGGTATCAGTCCCTGACACTAACCTGTTTCAGGGACCAGCTTGATGGCTGAAGAACAATGTGAGTGAGTCCTGCAATAGAACTCACCCAAGAAAGAGAGAGACAAAAGACTCATCAAGAAAAGAAGACCAAAGTCACATCTGCTGTTAATGAATGATTCACGGTCATACTATGCCCTGGGGCAGTGGGATAGAACAGGCCCTATGGACTAAAACATAAAAAGATGGGTGCAAAATTATAGGGTTGGTTCTTTCAGTTCTACTATCATCCTCCAGGAACATCGGTGTGCATTGACATGACCTGGCTCCCCTCCTCAAGTCTAGACCACCTGACTAGTAGACTGGCATGAACAACTGAGGCTCTATCCATAGAACTCTCTCTCTCTCTTTCTATGTGTGAGTGTGGTGGGTAATTTGAGTAGCTAGGGACAGTTCATTTACTGACACTGCATGGTTAAATGAACTCTGCACTCACAATAAATGCAGCATATTGCCTTATTGCCCAAACAAGATTCTGCTAGTTCTATTTCTTGAAGTGCAACACAGCTGGAGCACAACTGGGACTGAGTGGCCTCCTCTCCCCAAACCCAGAGGAGGTCCAGCACCTCGGCATGGCTCCAGGCAGGGGATTGCCTGGTGCGTGGAGCAGGACACCTGGAAAGATGCACTGAGAACACTCCATGTATTACTGAGCAAACAGGAAAGGCACTTTCAAAATTCTCAAGGAATGTAAAGGGTGTTTCTGAGGGCCAGTCACCTGAGGGAAGGGCAGAAAATTTAAA